GCCCTGAACACAGCTGGGTGTACCTCCACCCCCCCCCAAAAAAATAAGAAAAATGAATTCCAGAAGACTGCGTTGCTGCTTCAAGATCTTTTATACCAATACCTGATCAGCGATATGCAAACACTCACAGCTGTTCGTCAGGAGGCATAAGGAAACGCACACTTCAGCCAGTGAGCCCCCAGCACCCCACCAGGATGGCAAGACCAAAGGCTCACAGGGGGGAAGAGCTGGACACCGTGCTGGCTGGAAGGCCAGGCCAGGGCCACCTGCCAGCGCGGGGTGGCCCTTTCCCACAAGACTATAGATACCAGGTGGACGCTGCGAGTGAGAGGGGACCCTGACAAGACACGTCAGCCTGAGTGCAGGGTTAGTCCCAAGGCATGATGGCTAGATGCCCTTCGTTGTTCCAGAAACTAAGGTCTGGGGGGCCAGAGAAACCCCTAAGCACCACTGAGTGTGGCCCAAAATCCAAGGGAAAAAGGAGAAACTGAGGTCTGGTAAGACTTTAACAAGCATGGGAACGGCAGAAGGGTGCCCCCTCCTCTCGGCAAAGGAAAAGCTTCCAGAGGAACAAAAGACGACGATAAGAATATCATCAAACGGGCCAGAACGATAGCACAGTGCCTTGCAAGCGGCCGACACAGGTTCAATTCCTGCCATCCCTTATGGTCCCCCCCGCCCCCAGCACCGCCAGGAGTAATTCCTGAGTGCAGAGTCAGGAGTAACCCCTGAGCATCGCTGGGTGTGGCCCAAAATGCAAAATAAATAAATATTTGTGTGTGTGCGCGTGTGTTGTGTATCTCACCAAAACCTCAAAACTCTTCTGTAATCGAGTCCAAGCAACAGACTATCTTACCTGTCTGCATGAAAGATCCAAATTGGGCCCGTTTGGGAAAACATAAAACCAGTTTCTGGGGTCATGGGCCTCCACTTTCGATGTGATTCTTTACCTTTCAGGGTGCCCTTGGGCCTCCCCCTCTGGGAAAGTCACATTTTCTCCTGAACACCATTGTTCTTAGTGTTACACGCAAACTCCCTAAAGGAAACCACTTCACTGCACTATAACCACCCCCTGAAATTCTAGTCCTGGGGGAGACGAGTATATGGGAAACCTGGGCAAGGCAGGACGTTCCTTTTCCTGCGAAGAGCAACCCCCGCCCCAGAGAACGGCCTGGAGGACTCAGGGCTGGGGCCACACACCTTGTGGAAAAAGGACCAAGCCTGCTGAGGAGGCTGGCGGGACTTGAGCAGTATACTTCTCGGGGACCAAGGTGGGTCAAGAATGAGAGCAGGGGGGCTGGAGTGACAGCACAGCAGGTTGGGCGTTTGCTATCATTGGGCCGTCCCGGGTTCAATTCCCAGCATCCCATAGGGTCCCACGAGCACTGCCAGGAGTGATTCCTGAGTACAGAGCCAGGAGGAACCCCTGAGCATCGCTGGGTGTGACCCAAAAAGAAAAGAAAAAAAAAGGTATGAGAGCAGTAACATTCCATGGGGCAACTATCACCCTGCGCCCCCCACCCCCCCAGCACTTCTCTGGAACACTTCAGGACCCCTCAGTCACCTCTGCCCCAAACAGCAATTTCTACCTCTGGTAAATAAACTGCAAGCTTTGCAGTGCTCCATCTCCAGCACTCTGAAAAACTACTCTAAACAACGAAACTAGTCCTACACGATTCCCCATCACCACCAAACTGGAAACCACCCAAATGTCGACCATCTGTCAACAGAACAAACCAGCAGATTCAAACCACACTTGACAATAAAGATGGAGAAAAACAAAAGAATGGTTGTACTCCATGGAAACAAGTTGGAAAATCTCCTTGAGGACATTGGAGAGAGGGGCATTAACTGGGTCCAGCAAGAGGGAGCTCTCTGGAGCTTTGGATGTTCTCTGTAGGGCAGTTTACACCAGCTCGATGAAACACACACCTCCCATCTGGGAATATCACCATAGGGAACATTCGGGAGCAATAGCAGGTTCCATCCTGGCATCTCATAAGGCCCCCCAGGCATTATCAGAAGTAACTCCTGACCGCAGGGCCAGAAGTCAACCACCAGAGTATCACCAGGTGTGCCCCACCCACCAGCAAAAAAGGGGAAAAACATGGGTCTGGTGAGAAGTTCAGCAGGTAAGACACCTGCCTTGTAAGCACCCGCGGCCCGGGTTTCATAATGCCGGCATCCCATCTGGGCCCCCAGCCCCTCCAGGAGTAATTCCTGAGAGACCCAAAAACTAAGACAAAAAAGAAAAACAAAAGAAAGCAAAGATAATATACAAGATCCTACATACAAATTTGAAATGCTTTGTCACCAGGCTGAAGGAGAAATTATTCTTTCACACCTCTTTAAAAGTTTGGATTGGGGGTGGGGGCGCTGGAGCAACAGGACAGCAGGTAGGGCGTTTGCCTTACAGGAGGCCAACCCGGGTTCGATTCCCAGCATCCCATATGGTCCCCTGAGCATCACCAGGAGCAAGTCCTGAGTACATGAGCCAGGAGTAACCCCTGTGCATCACTGGGTGTGACTCCCCCCCAAAAAAAGTTTGGATTTTTTTTTTTTTTGCTTTTTGGGTCACACCCGGCTATGCACAGGGGTTACTCCTGGTTCTGCACTCAGGAATTACCCCTGGCGGTGCCCGGGGGAACATATGGGATGCTGGGAATCGAACCCGGGTTGGCCACGTGCAAGGCAAACGCCCTCCCCGCTGTGCTATCTCTCCAGCCCCAAGTTTGGATTTTTTAATGGACAGTGGGGAGGGCTCTTGGGGGTTCCCTTAGATCTCCTGCAGCACAAACAACCCCCTGGGCCACCTCCAGAGCAACCAGGAGTCATCCCTCAACACAGCCAGGTGTGGCCACAAAACAAAACAAAGTTCCCTTAGGATCGGGGAGGTAACAGACTGGAATCCCCAAGAGACCCCCAGGAAAAACCTTCAAGTCAGGAGTCTCACCACCCCAAAGAAAGCTAAGTGAAAATCTTGGATAATCCAATTAAATCCCGCTATGAATGTTGTGGTCTACACTGTTTGACGAGGATGGAGATCCCGGTCACAACGCACCACACGGTTCCAGCCCCTCCAGGAGTCCTCCCCGAGCAGGCCGAGGGTACCGTGAGGCTAGGCTTCGCCTTAGTGAGCACACATCTCTGAGAGAGCTAACCGCCTCTCAAGAGCCATCAGCTTCCCAGGACTTGCCACGGGCACCTGGAACCAGTCGGCAAAGTGTTCCCCCCTTTTATCGGGAGCACTGCCGGGAACAGAGGCGTGCCCGGAGCCCCGGCCTCGGCCTCTGGAGAGGCGGCGCGCGCCCAGGCCAGCCAAGGCCACCCTTGCCTATCTCCCTCATTATCCACAGAACAAAGGGTGAGCCAGAAAGCCCGGCCGACCGCCCCGACTCTCTTATCTGCAAGCCAGGGACTCTCCAAAAACTGTACCACCCCCAAAACCACCCAAAGTTTGCCATAAAGGGGCGGGGAAAGAAAGGAGGCTCAATTCCAGGAAGCCCACAGAAGCCTGGCGGGAGGGCCCCCCCCTTCAACTGTGCAGGGGCCTGGGGACCTGTTTGGGAGCACTCTGCATTCCTTTGTTTCATCCCAGGAGCCCGTCCCTGCCGCCGCGCTGCTCTGGTCTGGCTGGACCACTGCCAGCAACTGGCTCAAGGAGATTTATCTGTGGGGCCCAGGGAACGTCATGCCTTTGCCTAATGCGGTGCCCTAGATTTCAGAGTTTCAGCCACTGATGCGCTTCCGAGACTTCGGATAACAACATTTTCAGGGAGGGCACAAGGTATTAGGAGGCAAGTCTGTCCGGATCACCTCGAGAAGCCACCTATGAGCCTCTTGCCATGACCCTGACTTTCCCTTAGCTCTTTGCTCTACTTGGGACAACACAGTAACGTTCTACCTGCATTTATGTTGCCCCAAAGAGCTGAGACCCCTGAACGACTTCCCGGGGCTCCTTCGTGGCTACAAGAAATGAAAGGGACCTGAGCGAGAGGACAGCGCTGCTTGCATGCATTGGACTTGATCGCCGGCACCCCAAACGGTCCCCAAGCACTGCCAGGAACGCTCCCTGAGTGCAGAGCCAGGAGTAACCCCTGCGCACCAGAGGGCGTGGTCCAAAAACAAATCAATTAAAATCAAATGCGTCACACCAGGACTCCCACGTGCCCACCGGGGACAGCACACCGGGTACACCAGCAGCGACGGGGTCCCAGCTTTCAGGTCGGTCCTCAAGAGTGCAGGATGCGCCCTGGCTCAGGGGCTGCGCCCCACGCTGCAGCGCTCGGTGCGTCTCGCGCGTGGATGGGGAGCGGGGAGGTTCCCGGGACCCCCAACCAGAGGCATCGGGGGCCGGAACGATGATAGTCCAGTGGGCAGGGCGCTGGCCTGGACTCGCAGGCCACGTGGGTTTGCTCCCCAGCATCCCAGGTGGTCCCCGAGCCCCGTGACGAGCGATTCCTGCGCGCAGAGCCAAGAGGGACCCCTGCGCATCGCTGGGTGTGACCCCAAAAGGAAAGCAAGACACCCAGAGGCGTCGCTCCGCCGTGGTCCGGTCCAGGCGTGCCAGCCTCGGCGTGGGGCGGACACCGGGCAAGACCCCCGGAGGCTCCCTCGGCCCCCGACCCCCGATGACCACTGCGTCTCCTTAGGAAATGCAGAGCGCCTCCCCGGAGCTGAGTCCCCGGTGCAGGCTAGGGTTCGGGGTCGGGGTCGGTTCGGGTCCACCCGCCGCGAGGCGAGGGGCAGCAGACCCTCTGGGACCCCCACCCCCACCCCAACCCAGGACGCTGGAGGGTGCACGCAAAGGGGCGTGCGGCGCGCGCGGGGTCCGGGTGCGGGCGAGCGGGAGGGCGCGTGCCCGGGGGACCCCCCGGACCGGCCCGGGGCGCGGGGGGCGCGGCCAGGGCGGGGCGTTTCCCCCGGGTCGGGCGTCCGGCGGGGCTCGGGCGGCTCCTCGGGGACCCCCAGGCCGGGGGTCGCGGGCCCGCGGCGCTCACCAGGTACCAGGCGCCCAGCAGGATGGTGCCCGTGCGGACATGGCAGCAGAGGCAGCAGCTGTTGGAGTAGAAGCGCGTCCAGGGGGCGCCCATCTTCATGGCTGCCGGCCACAGGGCCGCGAGCGCGCGCCCAGCGAGTCGGGGGTCGTCGTGCCGCGCCGGTCGCGGTTGCCCGGGGCCGCGTGCGTCCCCCGCGAGAGCTCGGCCGGTGTGCGGCGCGTCCCGGCCCGGCGCTCGCCGCTCGGCGGGGCGGGGGGCGGGCTCTCCGCGTGTGGGCGTGTCCGGGGCGTGCCGTGGGCGGGACCTGCCGGGGAACTGAGCCTGCGGTGGGCGGGGACGGGGCGGGGACAGGGCGCGGCCGAGGCCCCGCGGGGTGGCGTCACGTGGCCCGCTCGGCGTGACGTCACCGCGGGCTCCAGCCGGGAGTCGCCCGCCAGCCCATTGTCCCGCCGCTTGATCCTTGCTGCAGGTGGCCGCGGCTGGGCGGGCGGTGGCCCCCGGGGTGGGGAGGACTGCGGGGCTCTCCGGCTGCCGTTTGCTGGACTGTGCGTGCAACGTGAGCTCGGGTTTCTTCCGAGATCCCCGCGCTTGTGGGTTTCTCTCTGCGGGCTCACGCGTGGGTGCGGCGCGTGGGCGGTGGGTGTCCTGCAAGGGGGAGGAGGGGACAGCCTGCAGGGTGCTTCCCTTCCGTTGCGGCGCTTTCAAACGTCCGCCCGAGCGGTCAAGGGCAGTTTGGCCTGGAGTCCCCGGGACCAGACTGCAGCAGTCACCTTCCCCCAGAAAAGGAGGATGGGTGCCAAGGACAGAGGCTCTAAAGAAACCATCCTCAGGCCGATGGTCAGCGTCCGCCAGACACCACACTGGAGTCCCAGAGATCCCGAACGCCTGAAGGACTCCCGTTGGCCTCATTTCCTGCCAGCTTGCAGTCTAGGTGGTTGTCTAATCCCTGCTGATGCAAAGCCTTCCTGACAGGTGAGATTAGGAGCCTTGGTTCCAGTTTCACTGCAGAGAGGTTTGGGTTTAAATTTCTGAGTCTGAATTCAGGCCCTACAAAGTGTGGACTAGGGCCTGCAGAGAGCACTGCGGGGGAAGGCTGTGCCTTTCACGCAGACCACCCGGGTTCAATCCCCAGCACGCTGTATGGCCCCCTTGCGCACCGCCAGAAGTGATGATTCCTGAGTGCAGAGCTAGGAGTAAGCTCAGAGCACTGCCGGGCGGAGCCCAAAAAGCTTAAGAAGATCCACTGGGGAATAAGAACAATTTGGGAAGGGCTAGAGAGATAGTTGACTGGTCAGGCGCTTGCCTTGCACACAGCTGACCCACACTGCATCTCCAGTAGCTCATATGGTGCCCGGAGCACGGCCAGGAAGGATCCCTGAGCACAGAGCCTTGAGCACAGCCAGGGGTGCCGACCAACCACCCAAAAAGAGAACTATGAGGGGGCTGGAGAGATAACAAAGCGGGTAGGGCGTTTGCCTTGCACGTGGCCGACGTGGGTTCGATTCCCAGCAGCCTATATGGTCCCCTGAGCAACGCCAGGAGTAACTCCTGAATGCATGGGCCAGTAGTAACCCCTGTGCATCACCAGGTGAAGGCCCTCCCGTTGATCATCGATTTGCTCGAGCGGGCCCAGTAACGTCTCCATTGAAGACTGTTGTTACTGTGTCTGGCATATCGAATACTTCACGGGGAGCTTGCCAGGCCCTGCCGTGCGGGCGAGATACTCTCGGTAGCTTGCTGGGCTCTCCGAGAGGGGCGGAGGAATCGAACTCGGGTCGGCCATGTTGGCTGCATGCAAGGCAAACGCCCTACCGCTGTGCTGTCGCTCCGCTTCTCGGCCTTTTGGCTAAGATCAAGTGTAGTGTGTGCATCACCAGGTGTGACCCAAAAAGCAGAGGACTCAAAGGACTATATGGGATGCCAGTGATTGAGCCCAGGTCAGCCACACGCAAGGCAGATGCCCTACCCGCTGTACTATCACTTTGGCCCTAGCAAAGCTTTTCTGATAGAAAAAAAAGAAAACTTTGAATTTGTTGTTTGGGGGCTTGGGGGTTGGATTTATTTTGGCTTTCTGGGTCACACCCAGCGATGCTCAGGGGTTAGTCCTGACTGCACTCAGGAATTACTCCTGGCAGTGCTGATGGGCCCATATGGGATGCTGCACACCCTACTGGCTGTACTTCTGTACTTTTGCTCAGGCCCCCAATAATCTGAATTTGGAAGCTTTACAGTAACCCCATTCAGTTTACAATCTAGCCTCCAGTAGAAATTATTCTAAGAAATAGGTGACTATTAACCATTGGGCATTCTTTTAACATTTTGTGAATGTTAAAATTCCTTTTTAAATTGCTCACAGCTAGAATATTTCTACCTCAAGCAAATGTAGTCTTTGATGAGCTGGGATATGGAATTTTCCACAGGTCTGCTTAAAGAAATCATTTAGCTTCTTCCTACAAATGTCAATTTCTCCTTTGTTGAAACCACCCTGTTTTGTCAAAAATGATAAACCCTTGAAATATGCACTTCCATAAGGAAGAAGCTGTGTACACTATGCTTCTTGGGGCCACCCTGTGAACTACAATAACTGAAATTCTTTTATCCAAAGTGGTGAAGGTTAAAACAAAAAATGCTGTATACAGGGTCAGGGCGATAGTACAGCTGATAGCCTTGCACTGTAGCCTGAAATCCCTGACATCGCATGTCACCAGGACTGATCCCTGAGAGTAACCCCTGATCATCACCAGGTGTGGCCCAAAAGAAGAGAAGGAAAGAGGAAAGAAAGAAGGGAGGGAAGGAGGGAAAAATACAGGACTGTTTAGTTTTACCGAACTGTAAAGCTGCCTCTTTGTCACTGTGTAGCTTCTGGAGTCATTCCCAGAGATGGCAAGGGTTGACGTTTGATCAGAAACTACAAGGACCCGGCCAGAAAGAAATTGGGAGGACCATATCATGGGAGTCACACGTACCAAACTAGTGACCAGAGAGACAGCTCAAAGGCCCAGAGCCCATGCTTTGCGTGTGGGAGGCCCTGGATTTGAGCCCGAGCACCAAGTGGAACCCCTCTGATCCCACCACTAGGGCAGGGACCTGAGGATGGTTTTCTGAACTCTCAGGTTTAGTTTTCCTTGCTGACTCCAATGTTCTCTTGCATGTGAGAATTCACCTCTCCAGGATCTTCCTTTGGATTGGTAAAGTGAGAGCAAGAGAAAAACCCTAGCTTCAAAAAAAAAAAGTTTGTATATCCTTGATATCAACCCCCCTTCTCCGAGATTAGTACCAGGAATTTTACTCCATGACTTGGAGGCCAACCACACATACTAGGGGAAAAGGGAGCTCAGACAAAGAGGGGAACATCAAATAAAGGTGTTGGGAGGATCCCCCCGGGATGGGGGAAGCATGCTGAAAGTAGACTATAGACCAAACATGATTGTCACCCATTGCCTCTTTTGCAAACCACAACACCCAATAAGAGAGAGAGAACAAAAGGGAATGCCCTGCCACAGAGGCAGGGTGGGATGGGGGGGATGGGGGGTGGGAGGGATACTGGGATCCGTGGTGGTGGGAAATGGGCACCGGTGGAGGGATGGGTATTTGATCATTGTATAATTGAGACCCAAGCACAAAAAATTTGTAAGTCTACAACTGTACCTCATGGTGTCTCACTAATAAAAATTTTAAAAAAAAGTGCCCAGGGATCAGAGTGATAGTACTGTGGGGAGCACGTTTGCCTTGTGTTAGGGCGCGGATCGTGATCTCCCTTTAACGACAAAGAGACTCCAGAGACTGCAAACAGCAAGCAAGGTTTATTGTAAAACTGGCTAGCCAGGGTCAAGCTGCCTACACAGACACGCAGGTCAGTTAGGTGAGGCAAGACCCCGAACTTCTTCAAAGGGGGTCTTATATAGGCCTTCACTGGCCGTTACAGCAAAGCCCGCGCATTTCATAGCCAGTAGATTTGTAACAACATATGCTTTCTTAACCAATCCAATTAAGGGTACATCACTTCTTAGCCTATAGTTTAAAGATCAGCATTTTGCGTCAGTGCTTAGGAACTGACAGGCTTTTAAGGCAGTCCTGGGTCTTGCAACATGGGTCTTGTGAGAGACATCCGGTTATCTGGTCTGACCCCCACCCTTCGAGTACCTGTATCTGAATTCCTTGCTCAGGGGCAGAAAAACCAGTTATTTTGCAGTGCAGGCTCCTATAAAGCGGATCTGAAAAAGCTTATCTAGACCTGTTCCTTGAAAAACAAGTTATTTTGCAATGCAGGTTCCTATTAAGCTAAGCTAAATTAATTCTGGCGGTAGTCCATTTTGGGCCTGTCTCTTACACCTTGCACTCGGCCAACCCAGGTTTGGTCCCTGGCATCCCATATGGTCCCCCGTGCATCGCCAGGAGTAATTTCTGAGTGCAGAGACAGGAGTGACCCCTGAGCATCGCTGGGTGTGACCCCCAATTTTTTTTTTTGCTTTTTGGGTCACATCTGGCATTGTACAGGGGTTACTCCTGGCTCTGCACTCAGAAATTACTCCTGGCGTTGCTTGGAGGACCATATGGGATGCTGGGAATCGAACCCGGGTCGGCCGCGTGCAAAGCAAACGCCTGACCCGCTGTGCTATCATCACTCCAGCCCCAACCCAAAAAAATTTCTAAAAAGAAAAAGAAAACAGTGCTTCCACCTCCCTACTCAGCCCTCCTTAACCACCTGGAAATACTTGTCATGGACCAGGAGAGATCAAGTCAGCGACAAGCACCTACTTACATGCCACGGACACTCACATGCTGCCAGCCCCTTGCCTGAACCGTGTTCTTCAATGCACAGAACCGGTCCAAACCACGAGGTCTGGGGGAGCCACTCAAGGAGCAAGGAACTGCTCTTTGCAGGAAAGTAGTCAGGCCTAACGTTGGCACAGGAGCCTGGGTCTGCCTTCCCTGGCAGAACAATTGCAGAAGGTCAATGAGTAGGAGAGAGGAGTTCCAGACTCCTCTCTCCTACTCATTGATGTGATCCGGAGAGAGACCTGGCCCTAGGGGGTGGCAAGCAAGCCTCCAATGGCGTTTGAGAGTCATTATCAAGTCTTCCAAAGGTCTCGGCCTGGAATTCTCTGCACACATGAACACAGGAGGGCCCTGCTTACTGCACTCGTCTCTGCCCTTTCAGGCACCTCGAACCAGCTTTGACACAAGCATTAGTG